TACTACTAATGCAGGCCCGAGTGGCGCTACAACTACCAGGACCTCCAAAGTGAGTATGGTCACCACCAACCCTTACCCGAGAACTATGCCAGCCACATCATTCTCCGGTGCGTCCGGAAGCAACCCACAAACAGCCAAATACCCTCCCAAAAATACCAAAACCTTCGCTCCGCTTTATATGCCTCTGTCCAAAGCTTTGGGGGTTTTGGATCAGAAAAGGGCATCTGAAGCCCCTAGAGCTGCGGCCCTTACCGGAAAGACTCCCCGCTGCCCACAACCCAGCCAAATATTGTGCATTTCACCAGCAGCACGGTCACGACACCGATCTGTGCTTTCGATTACGTCATGAGATTCAAGATCTCCTTGATAACGGGGTGATTTTACCTCCTGAGAAACCCAATGTTACTACAAATCCTCTCCCCACACATAACCAAGCTCCACCACCCAAAAGAATCAATCTCATCCATACTGGGGTCGTGCCCTACGATCCTAGCATTTATATCACACCTTCCTTTCTGCCTAAGCCGGAGGTTTTCCTTCCCGATTACACCGATTTGTGCATGATGGACGTCTCCATAACCCAACCCGAGGCAGCGGTTGTGACTATCAAGAGTAGGAGAGAGAAGACTCCAAAGGAAAAGGGGGTTGTTGAGCCAAAGTCTGCGGAATCTGGGAGTGATGTTGGGAATGCTTATAGTCCGAGTGACTACATTTCACCGATAGCCCAGAATAGACCAGATATGGAATTTCCAGCAGGAGGAGAGCTGTGTGCAATCCAAGGGGACAGCCCAGGACAGGGAACGGATGATTTGACAGCTGTGGAAGAGGATCTTGCCAAGTTCCAGTTTTACAGTAACCAAGATCCAAGAGACTCAGCCGTCAACTGGTTCGATTTTGAGGAATCGACAGAGGCCACGGGATGGTTGGACGATCAGCCAGATGTGGTAGGAGAGTTTAGTCAGAACAAGGCCCGGCAGGGACAGGAATGTCAATAACAGCCGGGAGGGTCGAAGAATAGAGTACATCGTCGGAGAGCGCCGGTGTCAAGAGTTTCGCTCGGGAATGGAGCATTTTGAGTACAGGGATTATTGAACAATCTACTGCATTGACACAGTCAGAATAGGAAAGATTTAGAGATTCCGAGAGAATTAGGAAGGCAAAAGCCCACGTGGGGGTTGAGACTGCCGCAAGTACAGAAATGGAGAATGCCGCGAGCATAGGAATAAAAGGTACTGCAAGTATCAGAACAGTCATGCCGGAACCGGACAGGTGCCTGTCAGCTGCAGATGGAATGTGGTGGGAAGATGATGATCTATGTCTTGCCCACACAGACGAGGATTGGGGGGGTAACCAACCAGATGATACCTGGTATATCGGCGAAGTCGATCACATGACTAGGAGTGGACGGTACTTCAAGCCTCCACACCTAGATCAACCAGAGGCGTCTGGAAAAGATAAGGAGGCAAAGAAGCAAAAAGAAAAGCAACTCGAGGATGTGGCTGTATTGAGACAATTGAAGAAGATACAAGCAGGCATCTCCATCTGGGGGCTGCTTATGGCTTCTCGAGTACATAGACAGGCTGTCCTTTCAGCCATGGACAAAGCCAAGCTTTCTATAGACACCACGCCCGAACAGCTGGTAGGCCTAGTTTTTTCGGGAGGAGGTCCCCCAGCATTAACCTTTTCAGACAAAGAGCTACCGCCTGAGGGCACAAATCACAGCAAACCCCTCTATGTTTCCGTGGAATGTAGAGGCAAGTGGATACCGGTGGTACTTGTTGATACCGGGTCTGCCATCAATGTCTGCCCAGCCAGAACAGCGTATGCAATCGGGATGAAACCCGTGGACTTCGTGCCGACTGCTCAGGTGATCAGAGCATATGATAATACTAGTAGAGAAGTGATGGGGACTGTCAAAATTCAAACCCAGGTTGGTCCCGGACAACACAACATTGAATTCCATGTCTTGGACGTTCCCGCAACCTTCAATCTGCTCTTGGGGCGGCCGTGGTTGCACTAAGTAAAGGCAGTCTCTTCCACTTTACATCAGATGCTGAAGTACCCTCACGGGAAGGGGGTGGCTATCGTCTTCGGGAATTCATCAATCCATCCGCCGCCGGAAGTGTCCACACCAGTTTTGGAAATTGAGCATGGCACTGAAGATGTGTTCTTATCGGGGTTCACTTTGGCTGAGGCTTGAGTGGTGCAGAATATTATGGCTGTGAATGAAGGGGTGTACGTCAGTGCTTAATCCGTCTACCTCATGAACAAGCTTCAACACATCCCCGGGATGGGATACAACAAGTTGGGTCTTGAATGACGAAATTTTTTTGTCTCAAAAGAGCTAATTTCGTCACTATAGATGTTTGTGACGAAATATTTTCGTCACCAGTTTCGTCATTGAATGTTTGTCACTAAAAACCAACATGACGAAAAATAATTTCGTCACCAATGAAATTAATTCAGTGACGAAATTTTTTGTCACCAATAAAACAAAATTTTGTCGCCAAAAATTCTCATTTTCGTCACCAAATAATTATTCAATACCATATTTATAATTTTAGTTGACGAATAAATTTGTCACAATTGTTGATCATTGATGAGGAAATAATTTCGTCACAGTAAGATGTAAAGGTGACGAAATTTTTCGTCTCCAAAACTCATACATGGGTGATGAAATATATTTCGTCGCAAATATATTTATATACATGACGAAATATATTTCGTCACCAAACAACAAAATCAATGAAAACTTCTATATATACACTGTAACAAATTTTGTCAAAAAAAATGTTTATTAATGACGAATAATCACTTTGTCATAATAACAAGTACAAATGACGAAACAAATTCGTCACTAAACCTGTTCCATATTTTATATTTCAATTTCAATTATTATTTTACAAATATCCCTGTTCATATCCCAATAGCCTTTTAATTGTACTAATAAATCACTAGCTATTATACATCACTCCACAAAAAAAATCAATAAACAATTTATATTATAAATCAAAATATATCCATCAAACAACTTTAATAATATAAACCATTAAGTACAACAAAAAAACCACCAAAGCAAATCCCAAAATAAACTAACGTGAAATCCACAAAAAAAAATTAACACTCAATCTTGATTTGCAACTACAACTAAGTATCAGTTCACGAAACAAAATTCAACAGTTGATCTTTATTTGTAAGTATACTTCCAAACGTCATCAAAAACCAATCTGCATAGAAAATAGACAAAGAAAACATTAATATATTATCAATTACATCTAAAGGGCTAGAGAAATTTTTTTTTTCCATACAATGAAGGCCAGAGCCATATTAAAAAAATTAATAATAATAAATTCATATAAAATAAAGTCATGATCATCAACTTGTTGGTATAAAAAATAGATATAAATTCAAGTAGTCAATTGAGTATTTCTAGTAGTTAACTTTGAGTATTTCTGTTGCAAATATTTAAATGCTTACCTGTATATGTTCCTTGGTTCCAGCAGTAATGTTTGAGATTGTTCAACAGGCTTCTTTCTTGATGCTCTTATGATTGTGGGTTAACAGATTCAGCAAACAATAATTGGTCTATAATTTGAATTGAAGAAATAATAAATTTAAAATTTTGCATAGCTTGGGTTTGGGAAATAAATTGAAGAAAACAAATTGTTCTACCCAACCAAACACTTAACTTGTGAGTGAAAAAGTTGCATATCAAATTCAACATAAGCACATAAAAAGTTGAAATAGGCTCAATGCAAGACAGGAAAGGTAAGTTAGGAAGAAAGATTGAAATAGCGCCTAAAAACTTAGGTTTCCATATTCAACCCCCTCCCCCTTCTAGAACACATTCACGCGCAATGTGTGTGCATGTGAGAGAGAGAGTTGTCATTACCTGTCTGTAAAATAGAATGCTTCTTCAACACCATCACCATGCTGCACATCTATACCAATGTATAGAACACGTGGATGATATTTTAGAAGCTCCAAAATCCCCAAAACCAAGCCATTGATGTAACAAAAACCAGATGCCTCTTCAATGGAAAAGTTAGAATTTCATAGTTGCACTCATGTTTCAAGTTGGTTTCTTAGGAAACAGAAACATTTCAGCCATTTTGATGAAGAAAAAAAAAAGTTCCTTGGACGCAATAGGCTAGTATACTAAATTGGTGGTCAAGTTTGAATTTAGATGTTATGGCTACAAATTGGCTATTTAGACCATGTTCAACTGAAACTACATCATCAAAAACAAGAAACCTTGATAAAATTGAAAAAGTAGCATCATGCAATAATACAAAACAACCTACAAGGAAAAACATACAAAGAAAAAGAACTTGTAATTAATTGAAAGGCAATAAAGGTTACCTTATATCGGGGATGATGGGGAAATAGAGAAGGGAAATATAAGCAGAAGCAGCAGAGAAGAAATACAAAGAAGAACCAGAGAGGGAGAAGAAGAAACGAAGAGTAAGTAAATAGAGTATAGAAAAGAGAAATGAGGGGAAAATAATGGAAAGAAACATAGGAGGAGAGAGAACCTGCTACACAAGGAGAGAAGTTATGCTACGGTTAACATTCAGCTATGCCAATACTAACTAAAGTTCATTACACTGCCATATATATATATATATATATATCTGTCCAAAAAACAAAATCGATAAGAATTTAGAGATCTAAAATAAGTAAAGGACCCCAAAAATAGCAGTGCAAGGGGAAGCTCAACACTATATACATATTCCAATTTGCAACAGCCAAGAAGTCTTAACTATTTTGGGTACCACCTAAATAAGCTGCTTATTGGCTTATTTACTACAAGTTATCACATCAATTCTCTACTTTTGTGCATGTATTTTCGTAAAAAGCCAATAAGCCACTAAATAAGTCATACCCAAACCACCCTTAGTTTGGAGTTCTAAAAACTTCAGCCAAAGTCACAAACGTCATAGTGCAGTTCATAACTATTGAGTTGAAGTCAGAAACATCACAGTGCTATTCTTCATGCAAAGCTTCCTTAGTCACTGTCTCTAAAGTATACTCAATTTGTCACTGTTCTGAATTGGAAATTCGTCAAACACCTCTCATCTGAAATAAAAAAGAAAACACTATGCTTCTCTGAGTAATGGCTTAATGAAAAACAAAAAGCAAATAATTAATTAGTTCAAGCATCTAAAGAATGCTTAAGAAATTACTTGGAACCCCAAAGACATTTGCATTTGCAACCTGCTAATGCCGAAATAGATGTTTCTCATGGTGATCACCTGCTAGCCATTAATGCAAAATGGACAAACCTTTGAAAAGAAGTTGAGTTCTTTCACAAAAATCATAAACTAAACTATGCAGCAAGCTGAATACCTTGATGTAATGCAACTACATGCCAAATTCATTTTATTCCCTTCTCCCCACATTTTCCCCATCCCTTTATATAATATAGACTTTTTTTTTCTTTTCTTTTTTGGATCATTTTTTGATTGTAAACAAAGAAAATTTCATTAAAAAGGGGAAAAAAAAGAAAAAGAAAGAAGAAAAGAGGATCAAGTACAAGAGGAGGGGGACAAGAAGTACACTGAGAAAAAAGAAAAGGAAAAGAAAATAGACCTTTGCCATTATCACAGTACTAATTGCTCAAAAGACAAAGGTTTTCTTCCTTTCTTCCAATATATCCCCACTTCCTCTTTCCTGAAAAATTAGTTGAAAAAGCTGTCACCATCAGGCAAAGGTATTCAATTGATTACCGAGAATGGAATTAATCCCACTAGGCACACCTAAAAGTAAACAAAGTGCCTCCCACTCAAGCTTTTCAAGGACCACAGACTCTAGAAAATTTACTAGGAATTGTAGGAAGATGAGTACAAGTTTTTATGACATTGGACTTATTATTCCTCATTTGTTCTTCAGTCTCATCATCCATTTCACAGCATAGATTACTTTACCTTCAAAATAAATGGGTAAAAGAAAAACTTTAAATAGTAACAAAACTTGTACATAGAATTTTGCTTGTCATCAAATTGGAAGAGTTCAAATGGAGAACATTCAATGTACTACTTATGATTACTACTATCATATTAAGTAGTTAAAATAGATGTCAACAATTAGTTTATCCTTGATTGACAAATAAGATGATATAGGGACCTATTAGGAGAACACAACAATTAGTTTATCCTTGATTGACAAATAAGATGATATAGGGGCCTATTAGGAGAATAATTATATGAGGCATTAGGAATTGTGGAACACACTTCACTGGGATTGGTGAGACATGAATGATAGAGAAGAACAATAAATGCAAGTAGTAGACCCTAAATAACTGACACAAAGGCTTGTTGAATTGTGTATATACTAGTGTATGCCCGTTCCTGAAGGCACGGTGTAAATAATGTTAGTTATAATGGTTTATGAAAATTTCATGAATGGTTTGAATAAATGAGCATGTTTAATCTCATGGTTGAAATAGATCACACTGCATATTAGTATGCATTCAGCACATATAAATCTGAAAAGGACAACATGGTTTGGTTGGACTGAATTAAATTGCTAAAATAATTTACAGTCCAACTATTAATTCACTGCAACTTAAACAGGCAACACTCCTGGTACATTTGTATCAGTCAATAGTAAGAAAGTTACAACAACACAGCATACCATCCATACAACGACGCACTCAATTCTTTAAGAAGAAAAATATTTCAATATATTTTTTCAGTAGCTTTATCAAAAAATAACACGAACTTTATAAATTTCAACATGATACATATAAATTATAACTGTATTTTAATCTTAAAATTATTTAAACCGTGCCTTTAGGCACGAGCATACGCTAGTATGTTTTATAAAGATGCTTTGAGATATTACTTATCATCTCAAAAAACCACACCATAATTTGTATCCCCTCCTACATGTGAGCAACAATCATGCCCTGGATCAACTTCAAAACTAAAGTTCCATTTTGTTCGGTCAAGCCAATTTTTTTGTTAATAAAAAAAATAAATAATTCTTTTATTATTCAAGAAAACAAAATCTCAACAACAACTATGATAGATAAGCAAGAATTATAAGAAAGCCAAACACTAATATCACCATTTGAGAAAACCACATAGTGATCCGGTAGATTGGCAGCAAATAAAATTTTCAGCATCAAGGACTTGGAAAAGTGAAGATGCACCATAATTTCAATTGCTGATGCATAATGGTGCGTTGATTATATTCATCACTTCAACTTTCTATTGCATATTAAAACTCATGCTTCATATGCTAAATGGTATATAAAAAAAAAAAAACTCTTAGCACAGATATCTGTCCATTAAAAAAAATATTCAAATTCGTTTGCATCTGCTCAACCTATTATTGGGACCTAGGTCAAATCCAAAATCATATTCACATAAACTAATAATATCAGTAGTCCCAATTATTGTCACTGTCTATAGCACATATATCTACAAATATCATTAAATAATCCTGTTTCACTGATCGATGTCCAGACACAAATAGATATGCAAGAATTTCATCCCAAACCTTAAATTCAATCAACTAACTCCAAACATTCTGTAAGAGATTCACATTAACTAATATAGTCCATAAAAATGTAAATCTCTATACTGAACTCAATTTACCCAGAAAATTGAATTAGAACTCTCTTTCCATCAACCAATCCCCATTGAATAGAAAAGAAAATTCACAGCAACTATGACCCAAAAGATACCCATGAAATGCAGGTAGATTGGCAGCAAATAAAATTTTCAGCATCAAGGACTTGGAAAAGTGAAGATGCACCATAATTTCAATTGCTGATGCATAATGGTGCGTTGATTATATTCATCACTTCAACTTTCTATTGCATATTAAAACTCATGCTTCATATGCTAAATGGTATATAAAAAAAAAAAAAGATACTCCCAGCAATTCTGTTCCAAGAAAGAGATAGTGGATCGATGTACTTTTTCACTAATAGAAATGAACCCATATCCTAATGCTAAACAAAACTGCAACAACAATAATAAGCAATAAATTTAGGGTTATTTAGTTATTAATAAAATAAGAAAACCAAACACTAATATCACCATTTGAGAAAACCACACAGTGATCCCCCAATTCATGTCCACTGGCTCCTACCTTCCGCATCCAAAGATTAAAAACAAAAAAAACTCTATTTAATTTTTATATGCGTCAACATTGTACAAAAAATATTGAGACATCTGCATCTGCTCGACCTATTATTGGGTCCTAGGTCAAATCCAAAATCATATTCACATAAACTAACAATATCAGTAGTCCCAATTATTGTCACTGTTTCATTGATCGATGTCCAGACACAAATAGATAAGCAAGAATTTCATCCCAAACCATAAATTCAATCAACTAACTCCAAAGAATTCTGTAAGAGATTCACATTAACTAATATAGTCCATAAAAATGTAAATCCCTATACTGAACTCAATTTACCCAGAAAATTGAATTAGAACTCTCTTTCCATCAACCAATCCCCATTGAATAGAAAAGAAGATTCACAGCGACTATGATAAATAAGCAAGAATTTCATCCCAAACCTTAAATTCAATCAACTAACTCCAAAGAATTCTGTTGAACTCAATTTACCCAGAAAATTGAATTAGAACTCTCTTTCCATCAACCAATCCCCATTGAATAGAAAAGAAAATTGACAGCAACTGTGACCCAAAAGATACCCATGAAATGGACAGCTTTAAAAATGGATCCCAAACCTTAAATTCAATCAACTAACTCCAAAGAATTCTATAAGAGATTCACATTAACTAATATAGTCCATAAACATGTAAATCCCTATACTGAACTAAATTTATCCAGAAAATTGAATTAGAACTCTTTTTCCATCAACCAATCCCCATTGAATAGAAAAAAAAATTCACAGCAACTATGAGCAACCTCTGATCAGAACTATGAATCAGAACTATGATCGCAACCTCTGATCAGAACTATGAATCAGAACTATGATCGCAACCTCTGATCAGAACTATGAATCAGAACTATGATCGCAACCTCTGATCAGAACTATGAATCAGAACTATGATCGCAACCTCTGATCAGAACTATGAATCAGAACTATGATCGCAATCTCTGAAATTTCAAATGATGAAAATAAAAAGATTCAGAACTATTGTGATTCTGATTCTAAAGGGTGAGAAGAACAGTTGTGATAGAGATTGCCATACCTGACCTCTGAAATCGCAACCTCTGAACTATAATTAGAACTAAATTAAGGATTCAAATGTTCTTCCTTGAAGACAAAAAGGAATAATGTAGTCTAATTATCTATATTCATTAGAAATACATAAAATTATGTTCTACCAATATACAAACATAGATTGAAAAAATTAAAAATAGTGAGATTGAAAAACGAAAGATCAAAGTGAATAAGATTCTATTGAAAAGAAAGCTGACCAATCATTATTTGGAAGAAAATAAAGATAAATGTTGATAAGATAATCATTGATTTAGATAAATACGATTTCATCCATGTAACAAGCCCGCGAGGGACCTCGCTACAGCTCGGACTCGACTTGTAGTCACGGTTCTAAGTCTGAACCAAAGAGTCCAAATCCGGCAAATCGTTTTGAGAAAAACAGATTTTTGAAAGAAGTGCCAAACATGGACTGCTTTGCCAGATACAGAGTCGCCACCTAAATATTTTATTTTGGGAATTTTAGGAAACCTTGACTCGTTGCCAAAGGCCACGTGTCCGTCATCACCAAAGTTGCCTCGGCTCGGGAACTTGGGTACGATTGGGAAAGCTCACTTCGTGAGCACCCCCACTCACCCGGTCATAGACCGGCCTCTACTAACCATGATATCTATTTTTGAAAACTTTGTGTGTCCTTATTCCGGTTATTAGCCTAGGTTACTATGTGATGCACACAGCATATAAGTATAGACTGGGTCGCCTGAATTGGAATGAAACATTTCATGTTTGTTTTTGAAAGATGGTTTGCTACTCGCAAGTAGGCTTAAAATGTAGATTTTGCCACCCTCAGGTGGGCTTAGAAAAGATGGTTTTGCCATTATCTAGTGGGCTTAAAACAAACATTTGATGAATTATTCCAATCCAAGTAACCCAACCTTCACCCACAGGCATTCAGGCAGTTATATCACATAAGCAATTAGCCTCATGGTAAGCATGCTATTCATGGCAACACTCACACGCATGCAAGGATGCTAAAGCAAAAAACTCACCGAGTACTCCAAGCCAAAACAAAAACAG